ATACTTTCGCACGTGTCATGTTATTTTATTTTATTCGCACATGTCATGTTATTTTATTTTGTTGTTGTCCTATTATCACTATTTTACAATTCTTCTCTCTTTTAACAGGCGTATATTTTTGACATTGTAGTGTAMCCGCTCTGACACATTTCAAGATAAACAGCGGATTCAAAATATTTTTTGAGATCGGTGAATTATCAGCCGCAAAGTACAACAAGTATGTCGTTTTATGCTTGAGCACTTTGAAATAATTTGTCTTTTTCCCATGTATATTAACATTAGACAAATTACGACTTCATTATTATCATAAATTTGTATTCAGTTTAATCAACAATTTAAATCAAAAATAGAAGACGATCTTATCTGTAGCATGACTAGAGTCTTATGAACACTGTCTAAAAAGAAAATATGAACATATTAATGATAAACTTAAGGCCGATTTTTAAAAGTCTGGGAACTGAACGGTCATTGTGCTCTTCTAAGATCTCAATGATATGAGCTGATGGATAGTGTATTTGTTATAGGCCGAAGTACATAACTTACAATAATTGCATTTGAACTCGGAAAGTCTCAAAGGCATAAAAAAAACATTTGATTTGATGCTACTGACTTTGTTTCTTCATTCTTCTCCAACGCTTGAAGCCTTCATTTCCTTTCTGAATGACAACCTCGTTCCTGTGTTAAGCATATGACGTCATATGACGGAAAACCGCCAACCGATGTCATCTCGGCTCAGATTAATGGCGGACAGGAAAAACCCAAATTTCAAAGCTCGATTTCTCCTGTTTTTCAATGATRTATCGATAAAAAAATTCTCAGAAAYACTTATTTGGAACTCTGATAAAGAGGCATATGTACAAAAACAGCTCAAATTCGATTTTTGGTTTTCATCCTCAGTACCAGMACTTTAAACTTACAGTTTACATTTCTCAGTATATGTGTGCTAATACTTTAAAAAACTTATTCTACCCTCTTTTTCGATTAGAGWTGCAAATATTTTGAGTTTTGCACTTTTGAAAGAGGGAAATTACACATTCGATTCTCGGAATTTTAATGTACGCCWGTACTCATGAAATTTATAGTAAGTTTGGTGTTAGCTGAATATCTTCTACAAATGCTGACAATTCTGACAGATTACACTAACACTGACAATCTACAGATTAACACATGTTATATATATTTTTTAAATGTCAAGTTGAGTTCAAACAGATTTCATCGCCATTTTCACAAACTGTAATCCACTTGTCATCCTTTGCTGGKGTTGGCTGAAAGCACTTGGTCTTTTTATTCATTATGATTCGTAGGGGGAGGTAAGCAGCWCGTRCAACTCCTTTCCTGGTTAAGAGGTCAAATATCATTTTAAATAGCAACAAACGRTAATACATTTGTTCAAGAATGCATCAGGTAAAGGCTATCACTAACTATTAATGATTACAGTATTTTTCAAATGCTTGATTGCTTCGCACTTATGTTAAGAAAGTGAAATGTTTTTTGATACAAGATCTCCGACCGTTTTTGTAAYAATTGATTATAATAAATGCAAAATTGAATGATTTAGTAAATTTCAAAATTTTGATTGTTTAACTCCTTTWAAAAAATATATTTAAAAAATAGCCGACAAGAAAAATATCACAATTTAAGAGAATCTCAATATTGGYGTATTTCCGCAATTCMCGYTTGTTTGGTTTGACCTCAGATTTCTGGATAATTTTGAAAAATTGTTATATCTTATTTAATTCTGCCCAAATCCATTACGAAAAAAGGTGAATCRCTTGCCTATCATCGACTCGCTATTTAATGCAGTTTTTTTCTCATGTTTTTCCGATCAACTCGAYTGGTTTATTTCCGAAGGAATCCCGCATAGCCAGGAAAAACTACCGTAACGTCTCTGTCTGTAAAATAGCACCAGAAACGTTGTTAATACACCCAGAGAGCTATCAAGGGTACGAAGCGATTTCTGATTGACCGTCCTCCTATTCACCAAGGGTGCCACAATAAAAACATTCCAAGACGCCAAATACGCCAAAATACTAAAACAACAAGCACAGCTTATTTGACTCAGCTTACTTGTTAAGTTCCACTCGAAGAATACGTGATTGAAGTGTGTTGTCATTCTTTCCTTCTGTTGCCATGTAGTGTTCAAACTCCTGTACTTTCTTCTTAGGAGGATTTTTATTGTAGTAAAACCACTTTCAAAAAATATATATATATTAATGACCTGGAAGTGATTTTCCAAAGCAATGTTATATAACCTATTTCCTTCGTAAATAAAATATATTGATTGTCAATATGTCAATGCACAAAAATAAAAATTAATAGCTTGATTCAAGATGGCTCAATGTATCAATGTATAATTAGGTAGTCTTAAATGTACTCGGAAATCGCATCAGCCAGGCTAGTATTCAGGAACAAAATAGCAATCCTATATTGTCTGAACAAAGCAAAATTCAATTAACTAATACTAAGCTTTTTATATATATATTTTTTTCTTTTATGCCCCCTCATGAATATGGTTAGCACGCATTCAAATTGTTACTACCTGATTTTTATATCTCGGTCCAAACAAGAAATTTCCCAAACTGTATGCAACTAGAGTGTGCTCTTTAAGGGTGTGACCTATGAGTACATGGGGATGACTTCCAATGACAGCATGGACACCAAGGGACTTTAGATGTGCTGCTTGCCGTTGTTGGAGTTTAATAGGCTTGGCTATATACTCAGTACCCCAATGCATGAAGACAACTATGACATCCACCTTTGACTGCATGTAAAATATTATGAATTTTGAATTAATTTTCAAGCCTTTAATCTCCTGATCATCTATCTTTTCCATCAAATCTCCTGATGACTATTTTGTGATTTACTACATGTTTAAGGGGGTCTGTTTCAGTCACACTACTGACGTATGGTTGTTGTTGTGTGAGGGTTGTCCAGTACTACGACAAATATATGCATAGCATTGTATTATATCCTCATGACAGTAGATTGACAATAAAAGACTTTTATGAACTACGCAACACAATAGAATACAATACAGTGTCTTGCATAAATTTCAGTGTATTGAAATTGTCAAAGTATTGGACAATACTCCAGTTTTGAATTCTCTTTTCTGCAAGCTTAGCTTCAATTAAATATAATTTTTTATTGGTCTTCTTTGTACACTGAATGAAAGAATATATTTACATAAGTCATGCTTACGAGGTTAAGACTGCACAAATAAGATCTCTCGAAACTGTTGTCGACGTACCTTAAGGTTGTTGACATCTCKTGTTACAGCTTCTTTTTTGTAAATAGCTGGACCRGCGTYCAGACCTTTTCGTTTCAGGTTGCACTGACAGTACGGTTCTTTGTCTTTTTTTTCATTAAATGTTTTACAGTATCCAAGAAAGCCAATCTTGATACCATTAACCTCGGTCGTTACTGGAATCTGGTGGAAATGTATAATATTCAAAGCCTTTCGATTCATTCTGAAATACGTACCAGCCGCTTTTTTTTAAAAAACATGAAATGTACGAAAAATATAATATCAATCCAGTGTGAGAGAGTTTTCCTGACTTAGACTTTGGTTATGGGGTAGTGCAAAAGTACAAGTCTTACATGAGTTATTGAGTTATTTTTTTATTTCACCGTACTTGTACAAGTTTGAGTATGCAAAATGCATCATGGTATTAAGATTGAACAATATGAAGGCGGCGTTCGATGTTTCTATGGGACTGTAAACTGTTTCCGAAAACATTACTGATTTKTAGTGCGCAGGCGCCAGCGATGGAGGCCACGAATTTTGGCTGTGAGTTTAAACTGGTCTTTATGACTCCTTTATGCGATTCTGGCGATGACTTTCCTAACAAGTCCTTACATCTTCCCTAAGATCCCGGCTACACAATGTCTTAAAACCAGTTCGCACAAATCGCAATTTGCAAATTTCATAACTTATATGCATGGTGCACAATTGTTAACTTAATTATGTCATTATCATTTACTGTAATCAGCTATGTCAATTCAGTCCTCGGAYTGCGAAATTAGCTTGGATAAACGAATCATTGTCATTGTTCTTGTTCTTGTAGAATATTAAGRTAAGACTGAGTATTTCATAAAATCAGGAAGAACTGTCATCTTCGAAATGATTTCTTCTTGCGCAAYACYTGTGGCTTCAATTTGTCATGGCTGTGGTTTGCGTCGTATTCATTTGGAAAGCGCATGACGTTGTGGATCTATATAATTCAAAATTTCTCATACATCAAATATTCTATCGGTTGTTCATAGGAATTTTTCATAGGCATAACTATTCCTTGCTATCGAAATATTATAAGTTTAATACCATGGTCACGCCAAGTTTCAAACAATTTATGAGGAATAAGGCTTTTAGTTCGCAAGTGAAGTGAAGTTATCAAGGATAACTGTGTTTTTTTTTTCGCTTTTTGTTTTTGCTTTAATTTGCTGTAAGTTTTCGTCTGTTTTAAAGACGTAAATCTCGCCTAACAACTCATGTTTAACTTTAAAGCGAAAAGTGGTAGATACTGAACGACTACTTCTGATACTCAAGAAAAASCTCTTCTTAGTTAATTGTAATACTACCTACTTGTGGTCTTTCGTTCTCAATGCTGCCATAACTAAACCCAAATGGCAGTATCCCATTATTCTTCAATATTTCTACTGTGAAATTGACTGGCTTTGTTTTGTAGTCGTTAAGGTGATTGTTTGCCAATGACAAAAGGTCAAAACCCGCGAACCTAAAAAAATATCATAAGAATAGTACACAGGGAAGGATGGAGGAAGGTACATCTTAGTAGCTTAGTGATTCAAAGAGTACTGAAGTATTTACATTTTATATTTAAGAGTAGACATATACTATAATGACTATCAGGAATGTCTCTTTTCTTTTCTTAATATTTAAARTAATTGATTTGCAAAATTTGATTTCATTTCTGTGAAGTTACTTAAAGTTCCCAAGGTGTTAGTCTCAGCACTCARTAATGGACACTWGTCGTTCTKTCATTCCTTTCTTAGAAACAAGCAAAGAATGCACCAACCCAAGCACACCCTTGTGTAAAAATAATATTTYATTGCTGTGGACTTACTTCAAAGCTTCTACGGTGTTAKGTTCAGCGCTGAGTAATGCAACAAAGCCAGTCTGTGCATYTTTTAGCATATCTTCGCGTACGAACGGGCTCTCAAGGTTCCCAATTACAAGGTCCGACTGTTTCAACACAGCTGCWAYATTTGCAAAGGTATTGTTGTAGGAATAATATCCGTGTCTGTGATAGTAGCTTGGAGCACCGTCAAAACTTATGTCACCCACGAAATGTAAAGTGACATTTCCACCTGTGCAAATAKTACATCAAATATTASAATAATAACATCCCTGGAAAGAGACGTGAGCCCTTTAGTTAATTTTCAGGKAACAATTTATGGTTTGAATAGTCGTGCACAAGTCATGTGTTAAGCACATATGACGTAATTGGTCCAGCTTCATTAGGACCAACATTTCCAGGAAGAACTTTCACTTACTCATAAAAATACATTGAGAATTTAGGCTGCCTRAAAGAAAATCAAAATATATTTGTATGAACAAATCTATGGCTTTGATATGAGCTGGAGATGAGCGTCAGTTTTCAGTATTCAGTACATTTAATTGTTCT